ACGTCTCCCAGACCTTGACTGTACCAGATTATCTACTCAGAAATTTAGTTAACTTTCCACATAACCTAAGGCATCATTAATTTGCATAAAATGCTCAAAATTATTAACTTATGCCTATTATTTACAATTGGGGTTGTGGAACTAATATACATGGCATTCTAAAGCATAAAACTTTTGCCAGTTTAGCAAGTGAATATAAGCATACATGTTTAGCTATAAGAATATGCTTTGTCCTTGAGCACAAATCTATACCCACACATACCTTCAGTTACCTCACAGGACATTAGTACTAATACACACTATATTGTCCTAATGACTACGTCGTATATGAATAAATTATCTAGTCTAGTGTTGATATCATCCAACAAACAATGAAACTATAGCTAATCCTTCCTTGGATATTTTTCCTAAATTGAAAAATTCATTTAGCCCCTTGCTAATACAAGGTATCTATTATATTACATTATTATTGCTAGTGTCATTAATATTGTTTTCAATATTATTATCATATCATTATTATTGTTTCATTATTTTTATTGTCACCTGTTATTAATCTTATAATTAAACGAAGATACAAAGCAGCATAAATCTGTATTATACATATTGCATTGTTTATAACACAATGACGTGTGTATGTAATATGCATGCCTGGCTATGAAGCTCTCATTCAGAGAGAAAGAGAGAGTCATAAAAACCAGCAGTAATTGATTAGTATTCTATAGTGAATAAAAATACAAATGAGGTTAATACTGATGTTCAAAAACTTAAGTAATCATGCAAGAAATAAGAATTAGGGAATGTTATAATGTAGTATGCACTTACATAGCAAGGTATATAACAAATAATATAGAGTCACAGTCACATAGATTATTTATACACTATACCGGTATTTGTTCATACACTAATCAGATTGCTTCATTAGAAGTACAAAACTCATAGTAAACCACTAGCTAGGCTCTAATTATTAAACCTCTTAATCTCTATAGTAAACAGGGAACACAGTTTTTGCTGCACTCATCAGAAATTGATGCCTTAAAAGTACCTCTAATGAAGCAAACCATTAGTCTATGTATAATAATTTATAATTAATATGCAATTCATAAGCATTTCTTGCTATGCAGTGTAAAGTGCATCATGGCTGGTGATCTACTTGGATATTATTGTGGTTCATTGTTTACTCAAAAAATGAAATACTTATAACTATGCTACACTAATAAAAAGCTTAAACTCAACTACAAAAAAGAGGAGTCCATTAAAAATGATCACATCAGCTTTCAATGATGATTGAAAAATATCATTTTGACCTTCTTGTTGAACAGGAACATCGTGAAGTTCCATACTGGCTACCCTTGCAAAGGACATTGAGGAAATTTTTTCCGTAGCAATTACAAGAATAACACAGCCCAAACAATTTCTTTCTTCTATTTACTAGGCTCCAAGTACGTGATAGTTTACGAAATTTTTTCTTTTTTGTCCAAGAAACCTGTATATTTGTGACAAGAGTGAATAGATGAGAGAGACAAAGAGAAAAAAATTTCCATTAATTATTACTTTTAATATCACCTTGCACTTTAGCCATTTACAAGAGACTTTCCTAGACCGCCAGTATGCATAAACACTAATATTTCCTTTAGTTCTACCATATACTTCAAAGCATGCATTAGCATCCTGTGATGATGAGCCACAGACTGAAGTTGATGCTTCTGGATTTATGGTATAGGATATGGAGGCTGAGACTGCTATACCTATTCTGTATATGAGCTAAAAGAAAAAGAAAATCAAATGAAAATATTTTTGACATCCAAACTTCCTTTTCACTCTTGTCTCACCAATATTTTAGCTGAAGCATCTCCTTTAATAGTAAGAGTAGGTCCTGTCTCAAGCATTGCTGATGCTTTCATATTAACATCATTA